GGGGGGGGGGGGGGGGGTGGGTGGCTCTGATATCATTGCATAATCAAGCATTTTCAAAATGCAGTAGTGTGGCAATTTTTAAGTTATGCCAGTATTTCTGATTGTCTCTAACATCACGCTTATTTCCAAGGTCTCTCCACTTCCCACCCCCTCTCTCACTCTGGGGGACGAGGAAAAGAGAGCCTCTGTTGGGAACAAGGTTGCTCTAAGGCAAAATCCAAAACAAAATGTACATGGTTCTTCCACAAAACCTTCTGTAATATCCACACTATTATTTTGGTGTTTGACCAAAGTCAGTGACATCACAAACCATAAAGTAACCATGGTGGCACATAGGTTTTTTTTCAACTGAAAATCAAACAATTGAATTCAAACTATTTATGGCGATATCGCCTAAGACCTCACGGCCAGTTAAACAGAACCATTACACTTTGGAACCTAAACCTTTTTTGATTCAAGATTTCCTTTGAAACTGTATTCAGTAAAATGTTATGTTACCGTTCTTTACTCAGCGAACAGTGGGCCCCAAAGAAACACTGGATAAGAATGAATACATGCCTGGCATTTTCCAACAAATTTACTCACAAACCTCTATTTACCCAATACAGTAACAATTATTTTATTAATATAGGCAATTTCTATCACAAGTATATGACAAAAATATCAAACACTTAACAGTCTTCTTTATAGTTCTTCATGGTGCACTAAAACAATGATACAAGATATTGCGAAGTTGTTCTTACACTCGCTCACTCGCTCGCTCATTCACTCACTCACTTACATACCCTCTCTCCTAGTGGCAGAAATTTTCAAGGCCCATAGGGCCAAAAATTGTTTTGGCTTTCACCTCATTTTAGAACCCAAAGAGTTGAAAAACTTTTGAGGCTCCTTCCTGATAAAGAGGTCTAAATCTGCCACTGAAGATTATCAACTTGAAATCCATTCAAGTGAATTAATTGCTCCAGCCAATTTGAAAATGCTGGCATCTTATGGGTTATCCCTCTGTCAGGGCATTTTCTCAATTTACCTTCAACTTCAAGTAATTAATCATTAACCATCTTTTTTCAATTGCTGATTGATCAGCACCAACCAAAAGCATGTAGCCCCCAGGAAAGGGAAAAGGTTGGGGGAAAATATGTGAAAAGGTCAGAAATGCAATTCATCTTGCTTAGAGGTTAAACCCCAGATTTTGGTCTCACCTAGAGTGTTCAAGGCGAAATGGCACTATTTTTAGATCTCAATGTCTCTTTTAGGGTTGTGCGTCAAGAAATAATCAAAAACAGTCTGTCCATTCCAAGTGCTATCTTTTAGTGGTCAAATAAAGCTCAAACCACGCTCAGATTGGTCTCCTTTAGGGGTTTAAATTGATTTTTCAAATTTTCCAACAAGCATCCCAGACCTTTTCACNCCCCCCCCCCTTCCCTGGTAAAAGACTGCTAAAAGAAAGAAATAGACAGGCAAAAGAAAACATTTGTTGAACTGGTGCAGCCACAGATCACTATTGTTACTACTGGCCAAATGGATTGTCTACTCTTGGAAAGACAATGGGATATATGCTGCACCAGTCTACCACGGGTATGGACTTGTACCTTTCTATAAAACAAATATTCTTAGGAGTCCTTTTCTATTTTACAGGTAACCTACTGTAACACAGGTATCTCACTACTTCACAGGTAGCCCACATTAAGGGAAGCAGGGATGGTGCAGTGGTGAGAGCACTTGCCTCCCACCAATGTGGCCTGGGTTCGATTTCCGGACCTGACGCCATAAGTGGCTTGAGTTTGTGTTGGTTCTCTTCTCTGCTTTGAGGGTTTTTCTCCGGGTTCTCCGGTTTTCCCCCCTCAGCAAAAAGCAACATACAGCTGATTCCAGCTGGCTGTAAGCTGTGCCCCAAGGTCACACATGGACCATATAGGCTGCTGCCAGAGGCGCCAATGTATGCTTTCGGTTCGACCTTGTTGAGCTGCATTGTTGCTGTTCTTTGTGACGGCGATTAGCCGCGACAATTATTATTATTATTATTATTATTATTATTATTATTATTATTATTATTATTATTATTATTATTATTATTATTATTATTATTATTATTATTTCACTGGCAGCCTACATTTCATTCAGGCAACCCATTTTTCACACACAGGCACTTTCTATTCAGCAGGAACATTTCTGTTGCACTACAGTTACCCTATAGTTACCCTACTTACTGTTACAGGCAGACTAAAGTTACACAGCTTCATATTATTTCTACACAGATTCATCCTTTTTTATAACAGATCAAAGATACATTATTTTCAGGTTACTACTTTTGGAGTGTCTGTAATTTCAATGGGTCACAGTTTCCAGATTTTCTTCAAAAAAAGGTCACATCTTTATTCTATTCCTAGAAGTCTGCCACTTTCAAGGGGTTGGGTTCCAAATTTTGAAACCTCGTGGTATTTCTAGACCCTGGATCTAGGACATCTAGAATTTTTTTTTTCAGAACGTTCTTTCAAACTTACAATCTGATTAAGCTTTGTTACACCATCTTTAGTCATTTTCGAATGTACAAATTAATATGTAGTTCCATCTTGTAGACATTAACACTAAAGAATAAATGTGTAAGGAACATAAGCATGTTACAGTGTGAATCAAGAAAGTGTGACCACTGACTGATTTGACTTTGACAATTTTGTTGACTGCTTAGTTACTTACTAGAAGCAATATCAAACCACAAAGGTAACCAAAAAATCGATGTCACAAAACAAAACTCGCCTTTTCCTATGCCAAAAATTAGTCTTTTTTCCTGAGTGATTTTAATACCATTTTTGCAAAACCTAAATCTGCAAAAATGATGTGGAAATTTGAACAAATCAAGGGTTACTTTCACAACTGCAACAACTGGCTTTATTATATATTGGAGCCACACAAATAAGTGCTTTTTTGATATATTTACCATTAATTAATAATACAGTGTATTTTCACCCCACAAACTTTTCACATCTTTTTTTTTATCTCCCTTTTTTTCAGTATCTGTTACAGTGCAACTACTTGAACCAGGCCACTTCGAAAAGAATTAACCAAAGAATAGCAATCATCTTTTCAATTAAACTACAGTTAACCTGTATTAAGCGGACAGCCTTGGGATCCTTACTAGTGTATGCTCAATGCAGGGTGCCCACTCAAAACAGGTTCTAGTATGTTGTTCAATGATAGTGGAGCTCCTGCGCACCGAGGGCGTGCGAGTAGAACCCCATACCTCAGAAAATTTGGTAACCCATTGATTTGAAAAATTTTGGTTGTCACGCAACTGTCTGTACCTACATATGTACGTAC